TTAAATTATATGTAAAAACAGAGATAATTGTGTTTATATGGATTATAACATATTTATAAACAATATAAATTCACAATAATTATGTTAAAAAAATTATTTTAAAATATCATATATCACCAATAATATAAAAAACAAAAGAAAATATGAACGGAAAAATTAAAACAAAACAGAGATCAAAAATGTTATAAATATCTGATTTAATTTGGTTAATGAAAAAAATGCAAATACATGATTTTAAAGAGAAAAAATTCAGAGCTTTTTTTTTATTCGAAAAGTAGATCTTTTTTAATAAAACTTGTTACATTCTAATTCTTAAATAATAATGATATACTTACATATCAAAGACTGATAATATATATTATCTTTCATTCATCAATTTTCTTTATTAAAATAAATTTCTTTATTTAAAATAAAGAAAAATATTAAAAAAAAATTATTATTATATATATATTATACATTTATTATAATATTTTCAACAAAGTTCATTAAAATTCATTAAAATTGTGATTTTTTTGTTCAAATAATGATGATAAATCTTGTTTAATATAATAGTTATTCAATTAAATAATTATGTGAAATAAAAAAAAATAAAAAATTCAATTAATTTATAAAATAGTATTATGTATCATATATTTAATTATAAAAATATTATTTCTAATTTAATCAATCTGTCGATATATTCATTGATTATAATGAGTTTGAAATATGAGGGGCATTATTTTAAGCAACTTTCCCATATTTTTTATGATATATTACAAAATTAACATCGTGAAAAGTAAATGTATCGATAGAAGTTTTCATTCTTTTATCTTTAAAAATAATATGAAAAATTTATTTTCAAATATATTGTTAGAATGCAGAAAAAGATCAATACAATGATTTATGTATTTTATTTAATATATGGATTACAATAATTCTATAAAAAAAATTTTAATAAATTATTAATTTTTCAATTTTTTATAATATAGTATTAAATATATATATATATATCTAAGTGCTAAGAAAAAGAGATGTGGATAACTGCCCTGTGTAAACATAATTAAATTAATTAAATTAATCTATAAATAATGGATGGATTAATAATAAGTATACATAAGAATAAATAAGTATACATATAATGATTCAAATAAAAATCAGCACAAAATCATCAATTGCCTTTAACGAACATTTATAATAAAATCCATAAATCTTATTACGTCTACTTCAACAGATCAATATGCTCTAGTGTTCACATCTAGTGTAACACATAAAAGGATTTCATGATAAATATGTAGTAAAAACAAGTTTTTTGAAGAATGTCCTCAAGAAATGTCTCCTAAAAAAACAGATAGAGATAAAGGAGCTAAAGATATATCAATATCTTTAACTATAATCAAGTATGAAATGTTTCTTCGCTATTGTTTATCGTAGATTTTTTTCAGAATACATGCTTTTCATTAACCAACAAATTAAAATAAAAAAAAAAAAATTCGATGAAAATATTATGATAAATAAAGAAAAAACGATAAAAGTTTTCCTTTGATAATACATAAATTTTAAAAAAAAAAAATTTTTGAAAAAAAAAATATTCATTAAACGATATCATATCGATACAACATGATTAAAATATATTTTCAAATTTTAAATGATATTTTTATGATAATCAATGTTATTCTTTGCAAACAAAATAAAAAAATGAAAAAACCGATATAAAATCATTCTAAATTGTTATTTACTGAAAATCTCAATATTATATTATTTTCAAATAATTATTTATATTTAAAAAAATATTAAGGAATTTTTTTATAATATGAAAAAAAACATATCTAAATAATTTCAAATTTAAAAAAAAATACACATATACATATAGAGTATTTTATGTTAATGGACCATAATTCTAAAATACTATAAGATAAAGTAAATTTTTATGGAACAAAAGTAAATGATTTTGAGCGATGTATCACTTAATGCTTAATGTGAAATGGAAAATATTGGTTTCTAAAATTTCAAAGTTACTCTGTTTTTTTAAATAAAATTATAAAAAAGAAAAAAAAGATTAATAGATTGATATAAAAAAAATAATAATAATACATTAATTATAATTAAAAATATATCTAAAAATTGATAAGAAATATTTAAATTTGTTAATATACTAAATTGATATATAGGACCTCTTTGAAACTATGGATGGATTTTAGAAATTTTAGAGATAAATATACACAAAAATATATATAAAAATATCGATTAAGATTTATTTCTTAACTTATAATAAGGAAAAACGAAACAAAAGTAAATGAAGAAAGCTCGTTTTCTTTTAACAAAAACTTGCTTGTAATTTTATAAATTCAATCAACATTTTTGTATATCAATTTTTTTGGCTTAAATTTGTATATCAATTTGTTTTAGCCTAAAATCAATCTCTAAAAATACGAATATCTTATATACACAATAATTCATAATGATACAATTAGATATAAGGATTTAATTTTACGGAAAAAAATAAAAAATTTCACTCGATATTTCATTTTCGAGAAAAATCAATTTTAAAATTTTACTTAATATTATACAATAAATATTATACAAAAAAAAGCTTTGAATTTATGAATCTTATTTCCCAACTATAAACTCTTTCCCAACTATAAACTCTTTCCCAACTATATATTACTATTAATGTTTATATTTATAAATTAATATTAAGAAGTGCGTTGCAATAGAAGTTACACTTCTAAATTTCTCGTAACGAATGTCTATTTATGTCTAATTTATCGTTACAACATAACAACAAATAATAATAATAATTATTATTATTAAATTATTATTATTAACTACTGTGATATGATTTTCATGTATAATGCATATTATATATAATGGCGGAAATGTATCAAGAGCACATTATATATAAAGAAAATGTTTTTTTCAAAATATTTTGTTAGTGATTATCTAGAGCAAATTAATGTGAATAAGAACACATACTAGAAAACCTAATAAACCATAATGAAATAAATTTAAAGAATTTTAGAATTAATTTATTACAAACATTGCATAAGAATGGAATGTATTTTTATCATAGTTATTAAAATTGAAGCATTTAAATAAAGATTACTTTTCATGAAAGACATTTTGTTATTGATTGCTTAAACTTATTAATGATGCAAAATTTTTATAAAAAAAATTTATGAATCAATGAAACTAAAGTTATGAGATGGTATATTAAATATTCATAACATGTATAGATGATGGAATTCTAAAAATTCTCATTTTAAAAAATATTCAAATAAGATTTTGAACGTTTGGATAGACATAATTGATAATTACATTATAGTTCTTTTTTTTTATAAAAAATGTTATATTTATATAGTATATTTAATATATTTATATAGTATTTGAATTTCTCTTCTAAAACAAATTATTCAAGTTATTAAACCATATATCACTTAGTATAAGAACTAAATATAGTAAATGTTACATTAAAATAATGGTCCATTTTAATTGTCAGATCAGAAAGTTTTTTAAATAAACTTTTAAATAACTTTTAAATACTTGCATTTGAATTGATTGTGGCAATGTTGATCCATTATCTTTTGATTTCTTTTCTATTTTTAAATATATATATATATATGAAATCCTTTCTATTTTTATATATAAAATCATATCAAATCAATTGTATATGAAGATCAAACCAATGATCAATTAAAAAAAAAAATTTTTGTATTTATTGTACAATGAAGCACCAAAATATGGTATAAATATTTATAGAAATTTAATAAAAAAAAAAAACAATAGTTGAATTGCGCTCAATATGAAACAGTTTTAACAATTTTAAAAATTTTTTTGAAAACAATTTTGAAAATAATAAAAAAAATTTTTAAATTTTTGCATTATGATAGTCGATATCTCTCATTATATTAATATACTGCTATATTACTAATGATATTATTAATGATATAATGGTATTAATATTTATAAATACAAGCATTCACAGCAATACAATTTACTAAAAAATAATATTCGTAAAGTTAAATTTTACTTATGTCTTATTTAGTTATATTATATTAGATAAAACTTTAAAGTTGATTTTATTCTTTTTTTTAAAAATTTTATTCTTTTTTTTTTCGATTTGTTTTTTCTTATAGAATCGTTCTCGATTGTACAAAACATCATTTACAAATTACTTTGTATATCTTTCAATTGAATGTTAAAATTGATTATATCAATAATAAGTTATAAATATAAGAAGAATAATAAATCGAAATAAGAAAAAATCGTTTAAAATTTAGTTTTATTATTTAAATGGATTCAAATAGATAAAAAAATTACTTGATCAAAATAACTACATAATTAGTTATTTTATCATTTTTCTTGTATTATAATTTAATAGATTTTTGGTTTTGAAAATAATTTAATTATAATTTAATTAACTTATAATTATAGTTATTAATATATATTAATTATAGTAATAAACTATATATATATATATATATATATAT